GACCGATATTATATAACAGTTCAGTTCTCTTTTCTTTGCTTCTAACGAAATCTTCCTGTTTATTAATATTTTGCTTAGCTTTTCGCCATGCCAGTTTCGACGATGCATTTTCAATCTTCTGTTAAAACAGTCCTTAGATATTTAAATTTTTGTTCTTTCTTAATGTTGGCGTGTCCTTTTTGTACTTCGCATCTCGGGCTGTTCCTCTTGCTGACAAATCATACTTTCTGTCTTCTTACAATTGATGTTTAGTCCTTTTACCTCGCTTTCATTTACTGTCTTCTGTCACAGTCCCTATAGTTTCTTTTCCGTGTCTGTTGTCAACACCTTGTCATCTGCATAGCTCATATTGTCAAGATTGTGACCATCGATAATGAATCCTTATTGAGAGAAATAGTATGGGGAATTGTAATGGAACCCATATAAAGTTCCCACGTTTGAATGCAGACGTTGAAATAAATAAAGAATAGAACGCGACTGACCTCTGATTTATACAAGTTCTACTAAACAATATTGCAAATAAGTCCTTGAAAACTTAATGGTGTTTCCGACCAAACTTATCTGCTGAAGAAAAGTCAATGTTTTCGCTATCTACGGACTCTGTGGTGATAACGGTGTAGAACTGGCTGATTCTGCAAGTGTTCATTTCGTAGGTCTTACCAAGTGGGGGTATTTTTAATAAAAAAAAAAAGGTAGAGAAGCGCGCCAATCATCAACTGTAAACTGATTGGCTAACCTTGAACAGCCAAGGGCAGATAATCATATATCTTATTTCTCATAATAGTTTATAAATAAAACGCAATTATATGACTTATATAACAAGGCTCACCGTCCCATTTTCGGGCAGTGTATGAATGGTTGATACATAGAAACCAACAATTAATAGCGAATTTCTTGAAAAAAAATTTATACTTATTAATGATTTTATGGAAAGTATTAATGTTTAAACGTTCAACTATCCCCTTAGAGAAAGCCATTAAATTTCAGTTTCAATCACACTATTGTTACCTGTCCATAAAAAAAACATTGATAAACAGAAAATAATAGATATGCATTTCGGTAGATATTAGATCTGCAGGTAAATGAATTTAGCTGTGTACATATATATATATGACATGACCGGTGCGTACGACTCCTGACCGGGCCTGGTGGGTGCAAGTCTGATTGGGGGTCCCAACATGTGATTTGCGACACTCGCTATCATATCAACATTTACTTTTATTCACCTACCTTTATATACGTTACAATTTAAACTAAGCACAAGTATTAAAGGATGAAAACTTTTCGCGGATCTTGACAATTTTTGAGATCATTTTTTTGTCCAAATATATGAATTATTTTTTGCTCACCCTATGTCTCGAAAAAAAAAACACTATATAAAATTCGATATCATTTATCCATGATGTTGATGGTATTAAAATTATTCAACTACTTAAGAAGAAAAATCTCAAGTTGTGGTTAAATATTGCCACAAAACATTGTTGATTTATATAATAAGTAATGATCTATTATGACATGTCTCTAATTTGTATTTGGATACATTGCATTTATTTTCAATTTTTCTAGTTGAATTGTTTACTTATATTGCATTTGATCAATTATTGTACATTATTAGGTTACAATAAAATTTGTAATTTATATGAATACTACCTTATGAAATTTGAGATGTAGTAGAGTTGAGGGTTCCGTATAATAGATTCTGTAGGGGCCCACAAGCCAATTGCACCGGCCCTCTATATAGGTTTATAATAAGATTATCAAAGTGGATATATTTTGGTAACCATTAAAAATTGATAGGTACCGCGAAAATTTGAGCAAAAAAAAAAAAGATTAAAAATGCATTTAAAATAATTTAAATACCCCTTTTTCACTAATATCTTTGTTCTATTTGAGAGATAATATGAAAAATGATGTCAGAATATTTAAAACACTTTAAAAATATATTAAAAATCAAATATTTATCATAGCTATTAGTTTAAAAGAAAATGAGTAAAATTATTGATTAATTCACAAAATCTTGACAAAATATTACTTACTGTACACTTAGAATATAATGACAGTTGGAATAAACCTTGCTGTGTTCAAAGGTAAGCACTTTTGAAGTCAATCTAATTTTCTTAGTGTCAACAAATTCATAGATCAAACAATACAAGCCAACTCCCATAACCACTAATTTAAAAGAAACAACTGTTTGAAATTTAATTAAATACGGAAACCCATAAGTGCAAAAATACAGAAACTGGTTACGTTTATGTTTAACAACAATAAGTTTTAAGGTTCTCTAACCAAGGAAGTTATTTAATCTGTAAATAAAATTATTTATTTATGGAATTTAGGATATTATTTTTTTTATATTAATAGGAATCTGGAAATATTTTTAAAATAACAAAATGAAGTAATAAATTTTATTCATCGTATTTATTCTTCCTTTATTTGTTTAAAAATTATTTGGTATTTATTCTAATATTTTTATAACTTATTTGATGTCGTAATATTTAACTGCATCAAATCTATTCAATTTTTATTTGTTAAACAAAAGAAAGTGTTGTTATAAAAGAAAACAAATTGTAAACTTGATAAAGTTCTATTGAATCACATTATTCATCTATTGTCTTTGCTTTCTTTCAGCTAACAATGCCATAAAATAACGTAGATATATTCAGACATCAGATAAAATTATTTTAACCTTAATTCAGAATTGTTGAATTATTCCCTGTTTTGTCTTTCATACACAAAAAAATCAAAGATTTATGAAAATAATAAAGAAGATAAAATTATTTTAAAATTATTTGATGCGAAAATGGAATCAAACTTTACATTATTTGATTTTACAAACAGATCTTTATTTAATAAAAATAGTTACTTTTGTCATTTACAACTTCAAGAATTTCAAAATCGCTCTGAAAAATTAATGTAATTCTTCCAAAATTAAATATCCATTGCAGATTTCGTCAAATCTGAAAGAAAGTAATGTTTTATTAAATTATAAAAGCATCAACTCTCGGCAAAAATGATCTTTTTGAATTTTATTGAATAATTTTTGCAAGAATTCAGGACTAAATTTTCTGATTTGAGATTGCAAAATGTTTTTCACTGAAATAAAACCTTCGAGGGTTTTGTTATATCAATATAAGAGAATTTTTCCATTAACCACAATATTAAATGCATTTATGATCTATAGAAACAGTGAGAGAGTAAATGAGCTTATCCAAAAAATATTTCTAAAAGATTTTCTAATAAAATAACATATTGCTTATATAATTCATATATTAAGTTAGAGAATTTCATTTAAATCGAGTAATTCTCTCCTGACTTTTAGTAAAATTTTAAAAAACAAGCGGTACTGTTATTTTATTTTATATATATATATATATATATATATATATATATATATATATATATATATATATTGCATTCATATGAAAAAAACGCATTAATTTTGGTAGTATCTAAAACTGATAAGTTACTGAGTGAAAATTATTTGTTAACTACTGATAAATGTGACACGAGAATACAGATCAATGTGGAAAAATGTAATGTTTCTTTTATTTTACCAAGAACTTTCAATCTCATCCAAGTACTTGAGAAAATAAAAGATAGGAAAAAACTACGGCGCCTTCCTTAATGAATTTAATATCAACATTAAGAAGTTAATCAGAGAATTCGACAGGATTAAAATAAAATAAAAAATGCATATGTCCAGATTATTCAATCAAATATGCTTACATAAATATAGAAGTGTGTGTGTGTGAGCAAAATAACAGATATAGAACTGAACCCATAGCATATTAATTTGTATAGAATTGATTTTATACACACATTCATATACACAGGTATAAATACACACATATATATAGTAGGCCGATGAAAACACCAACTTTCTCGCGATTTCTTTATATATATATATATATTGTATTATAATTCAATATTCTCATAGATATACAAATGGATGGATATGAAAGACTCGATATCGATTGAAATTGACTAACTTATTTGTATAAAGATTGTTTTAACACACACAAATACACACATACACAAGCACACGCACACACACACACACACACACACACACATATATATATATATATATATATATATATATATATATATATATATATATAAGGAACAATGCATGGCAAAGTTTAGAAAATCTTTGTGTGACATGTTTCGACATTTACGTTTTAATCGGACTAAGTTTATGTTTACACACACATATATATGTATATATTTGCGTGTATATATATAAACATATATATATATATATACAAATATATATACATATATATATATGAATATATAAGTATAAATATATGTATATATATATTAAAATAGCGTGATGTGATTGATGTGGATAGGTATGAACATGTATATATATATATATATATATATATATATATATATATATATATATATATATATATGTGTGTGTGTGTGTGTGTGTGTGTGTGTGTGTGTGTGTGTGTGTGTGTGTGTGCGTGGGTTTAGATAGCTAGATAGCTAGATAATGAATGAATAGGTAAAAATAGCTAACTAGCTATTTTGCCTATTTAGCTAGCT